GATTGTGACTGTGCCCTGATATTTTTCCCTCTTGAAGTAAGAAAGTATTTTAGTGGAGTGTACAGTTAAGAGACTTTGAATTGTAAAAAGACTTTGAATTTTAGGAGATTGGATATTTTAAAGGGATTGAAATTTTAATATGTAAAGACTTTGGGACTTTTAAAGTTATTTAGATCTTAGGGATCAATAAGAAAGTATAGGTTGAGTCTTAATAGTGATGTGACACTAAGTTGACAAGAGGTCAGTTGTACTGGCTGGTCTTGTGTGTCAACTTGACACAAACTGGAGTTATCACACAGAAAGGAGCCTCAGTTGAGGAAATGCCTCCAGGAGATCCAGCTGTAAGGCATTTTCTCAATTAGTGATCAAGGGGGCAGGGCCTATCCCACTGTGGGTGGTACCATCTCTGGGCTGGTAGTTCTGGGTTCTAAAAGAAAGCGAGTGGAGCAAGTCAGAGGAAGCAAGCCAGCAAGCAGGATTCATCCACAGTCTCTGCATCAGCTCCTGCCTCCAGGTTCCTGCCCTGTGTGAGTTCCTGTCCTGACTTCCTTTGGTGGTGAACAGCAGTGTAGAAGTATAAGCTGAATAAATCTTTTCCTCCCTAATTTGCTTCTTGGTCATGATGTTCTGTGCAGAAATACAAACTTTTAAGATACTCTTTACATGATTAAAGCATGTGATTAGAGCTATAAATAAACTTGGTTTATTAAAGTCCTGCTTAAACAAAGCATCTGGCTTATGGGGCAATTCCAACCATTTTAAGAACACTTGTGAAAAATATCTTTGAAACTACAATCTCACCTGTACAGTAGTATTTGCTTCAAGTATTGGATTGCTCTATTATGGTCTACGATATAAATGTCATAAAATGTAAGACAGACAGGTAGTATGTGAAATAAATGTGGTCATATACTTATAATGACATTCACATACCTCAGAAACAAACACATATGCAAATCTTTCCATCTTCCCTTACACAAGTTTGGTATTGATATATGTGTCCCCAACAAGCTCACATTTAATACTTTTTAAGCATGTCGGGGTGATTCTTTCCTTCCACCCAGACACAGACTGTTGAACTTCAGCCTTCCCTGATTCCTGCACAGCCTGTGCCCTTCTCTGCTCATTCAAGCTTTCCTGCAGTATCTGGGCGATCTGCTTTCTAGAATGGAAAGACCACAACCTGCAATGCAGGTGAACAGTCATTGCTTGAGTTATTTCATCAACCATTGTTGCTTCACTGAGTCTATGGAATTTTATGGTTTTCTGTTTTGTGTTTTCTGAGCTTTCTACTATGTCTTTTTATATAAAATGCAAAAAGATATTCATAAAATTATATGCTTCTCTCAGAGTCAGAATAAAAGAGCAAAATTTCTGTGAAAGAATGACTTTAGCCCCAGACTCCCTTGTCTGCTCAAACATGACGTGCACAAAAGTGGCATTTATCAGAGCAAGAAAATGTTATTACAGTGTGTTTTGATGGCAAAACTCTAACCCCGGAAGCTAAGCAAATAGCCAAATTCTGTCTCTTGTATCCAAAAGTTTCTGGCAGCAAATAAGAAAAGGCCCTTTTCTGGGTTAGCCTGGAAGGAGAACAGAAGCCATAGAGTTTGAGTGGCTTATGCATTGTTAATCACAAAGAAGGGAGATAAAAGAGCACTGTGAGTCAGCCCCAATCTGGCTTTTTTTCTAGTAAAATAGACAAATCAGTCCCTGTAGGCTGCTGAACACAGACAAGTTTCTAGGAGGCTGGATTGGGCTTCTCTGTGGTCAGGTAGGAGCACCCAAGGCCAGTGGTTGCATAACATCACAAAACAAGCATACAATGGGTAGGAAGCTCACTGTCTCCAGGAACACTGACAGCTAGGCATCCTTTTCTCCCTCGCCTTTCTTTTACTTCCCTTTCTCCTTCACTCCTTTCTTTTAATTACTAGTGAAATCAAGGCTTCCTTTTGTGGGTCCCTAGTCCACAGGACTTGAAAGGAAACTCGAGAACAATTTCATTGGAGTTTGAGAGAAAAACAATAGGGTAGACAAGCTTCAATCCTAGCAGTTGCCAGAAGGAAAGGGAAGAAAGAGAGGGAGGGAGAGGGGGAGGGAGAAGGGGAGGGGGAGGGAGAGGAAGAGGGAGGAGAAAGAACATCATTTGAAAGCAAGTTAATGTGTGTGTGTGTGTGTGTGTGTGTGTATGTGTGTGTGTGTGTGTGTGTGTGTTGCTTCAGACAGAGTAAGAAAGCCCACAGTGTCAAGGAAAGCGTGTGCAGGCTTTGAAAAAAGGGATAGAAAAAGAAAAGGAAAGTTATAGTTCTATGAGTAACTCAGAAAAACAAGCAGAGTTAACAGAGCTATATGGCAGGGGCTCTGTGAGTGACTGCACAAGACTAGTGTTTGGGGAAGGACAAGTGCATTATCTTATCAAAGCAATAATTATTCCCTCCATTTCCTTAGCACGGCTTTAGGTATCACACTCTTCTCGAGGGGTGGTCTGTGGTAAGGCGACTGACAGGCACAACTACATTAGCTTTTTCTTTTAAGCTGTATTAACTCTAAAGGGAGGTGACAATAATGTAAAAAAATCTTTGTAGCTGATCAAAATGCTGTCTCCTTTGAGGGCCAGAGGTAGAGTCTACTCTTTTAACCAGGAGCTAATACAATAGCTTTCCCTTCAATAACCCTGGGCATCCATCCATAACAACTTTAAGATTCTAACAGGTCCTCAAGAGCTGAGACCCTACCTGGGTGTGGTGCTGCATGCCTTTATATTGGTAAAGTACATGGGAAAGTAGAAGCAGGCAGATCTCTCAGAGTTCAAGGCCAGCCTGGTCTACATTCTAGGCTGGCCATTGCTATGTAGTGAGACGCTGGAGGAAGGGGGAGGAGGGAAGGAAAGACAGAAAGACAGAGAGACAGAATGAATATGAATATATAACCTAGTTCCCTTGTGGAAAATAAAAGCTGCTCGCTAGACCCTTCTAGTGAGGTCTGCAATCTCACACCTCCAGAGCTCACTTAGCAAGAAGCCAGAGCCCATTTCTGGCATTTCTTGCCACTGGACAGGGCAGAAGCATGGCCATGTCCAGTCTCTGGCCAGGGACATGAAAGGTGCTACTGTTTTCTGGGTTCCTGCACTAACCTGCATGACTGTTTATGCCTCTCATCCTCATCACTTCAACTTACATGTGGTTAGGACTAAGAACTCAAGCGAGGGATTGAGTCACCTGACCTTCTAGCAGCCCTAGGACCATGGTTCAAGAGTAGGAAGTCACCTGACCCCTGATCAAGAGGCTTTGGCCTTTGCTAAGACTATCCCTCTGCAGGGGCTGTAGCCATGCTGGGCACAGTGGCAACATGAACAACAGTCTAGCTGTAGACAATTAATCTGCTCTACTCGCCCAGCAGCTACTGCCCCAATGTTGTGGATTTTGGAATGAAAGACACACACACACACACACACACACACACACACACACACACACACACAAAGCCTTATATTTAATATGCCCTAAGCAGCTCAATGGCTGTGCCAGTCCCAAACCTCCACATGGCTAATATACTCTCCCCTCTGATGTTCCTGAATTATTACTAAAATTTACATTCCATTTTGGCCACTCTGGCCTCTTATATGTTGGTGGTTTCTCTGTCTTGTACTTCTCAGGCCTGATCTTTCTGCTTCCCTGACACAGTGGTTCTTCTTCTTCCTCTGTCCTGCATTCCTTGCCCAGGAATCCTCAAAGTCCCACCTCTGTCTCCCTGGCCAGCCATTAGCCACTGGCAACTTTATTTACCAATCAAAGTCAACTGGAGACGGGTACCCTCAACATCTTAGATTCAAGACCTGCGGATTTCCGTGTAATTTGGGGGGGGGGGGTGAATCAATATAAAGTAGCATTAGACCCAATCTACAACCACAGTCACTGGTGGGAAGGAGCATCCCTCAGTGATGGTGCTGTTAGGTACCAACCCAGGGCCTACGTGAGGAAAGGACAGTCATCTTCTGGATTATTTTAGGCTCTTTACTGAGTTTGACAAAAGTAAATCTGGGCTGGTTCTCAGAGGCAGGCACTTGCTCTGGGAAACACTGACATTTTCTTTATAATGTAGTTTTATTTTCACCTGAATCAGACCACCTAAAGCAAAGGGGCAGTCTGAAACTCTGCTAAGCTCGGCTTAGCTCTTAGAACAGGTAGCACGTATATTCTGTTTTACAAAGCTGTCCCTGGACTGATTCTAGTCAAGGGTGACCTTGAACTCCTGATTTTCCTGCCACATTTCCCAAGTGCTGGGTCTATAAGTATGTACCACAAAGTTCTCCCTTTTAAAAATGAGAAAACCTGATATAAAAAGGCTTCATACACTATTCAAGATCACATGACTAGTAAATGTCAGATCAAGACTGTCTCCTGATTCAGTGAAGTTCCATGCATCTGGAAAAGCCTCCTTGGCCTTGGGGCACTGACACTGAATAAGATGACACACAAGCTAGAACAAAGGGCACTATTCCAACACTAGCAATTTGTGAGCCACAGCTAAATATCCTTTGTTATTTTAAAATCATTTTCTCAAAAGATAACTTTTTAAAAGATTAATTCCTGCTTTGTAAATTAAAAGGGGGAAATAAAGAAGATACTAAACATAGTAATATCGGGCAATTCATCAAGTGATAACATATCACAGTTATAATTATAAAACACACTAGGACAATGACAATATGGTAAGCCACTGCTGCTTATATCCTGAATATAGGAAGTTGTAATTCCTGTTCAATTGTGAGGTTTTCACCTCTCAGCCTGTGACCTATAGCACACAAGCAAGAGCAAACAGGATCTGACCCATTGTTCCCCTCAGGTGAGCCTCTCAGAGCTACAGTGCATGCAGACCTGCTCCCACACACCTTCTCCTGGGTGAGGGAATGATATCAAGGCTCAGAAGGACACCACTGTCTTACACAGGACTGTCTCTCTGGAGCTCCTGGAGCTTGTGCAACCAGTCAGAGTAATTACCTAGGCATGTACAGGACTCTCTCGGCCACCACAAAGCCCACCCTGAAGAAGAGGTTGCTGGCTGGAATGAACGGGAACACGAGGAACAGCAAGCCGGCCAACACTTCCTTGTGCTCCAGCTTCTGAAACACACAACAGGGAAAGAACACATGGATCTCTACTCAACTGTGCCTCAGACATCAAGTCACCATCTGATTCTCAGGTTCTTGGTGATGACCAAATGGACACATCAGAGAGCTAAACTGACCACAGAAAGTCCTGCCTAGAGGTGCTGACCTGCCCAATACACACCTGTCATCACAGATGTCTGAAATGGGCACAGTTGGTAGTGACCACTGACCACTGCCTGAGAAGGTGCTGTTCAGCCCGTCCCCACCCCTCCTTCATAGCCTCAGGACTGTACAGAGGCAAAGCAGTTAGGCAGAGCCAGGTACTGAGATATTGTGGTAGCCTCTCTTAAAGAAGAGGCCAAAAGGGTCACTAGCAGGAGTCAAGCTTTGCATACAAGAAATGCAATTCTGATGGTAAAATTGAGGGTGCCAGTGGGGGCCAGCTGAATTATGTTTCTTGGTACCTCTCAAACCAAAGCAGATTTATATTTGATCTGATTCGGTTGGTTATTTGTTGTTTGTTTGAGAAAAGATCTACCTATGTGCACACACACACACCCATGTATCTCTGGCTGGATTTGACATACAACAATCTTCCCTTAGCTTCTCCTAGACATGGGTTACAAGGAGAAGCTGCAAATTTTTTAAATTAAAAACAACACTATAAAAACTCAGTAAATTGGTAAAGGACCTTTTCTTAGTATTTGTAATGTTTCTTAATCTTTGTGTAATTAAAAAAAGTTAATTTCTAATGAAGCTATTAACCAAAGAATAAGAACAAACAAACAAGCAAAAAAATCAAACCAAACCAAAAAACCAAAAACCCTCCCCTCAGAGCTCAGGAACCCTCTGTAGAAGAGGAGGTGGAAAGAATACAGGAGTCAGGGGGCATGAGGGACACCAAGAAAACAAGGCTCTCTAAGTCAACACGAGCAAAGCTCATAGGAGACTAGGGCAGGATGCACAGGGCCTGCACAAGATTTCACCAGGTCTTCTGTGCTTACATTCTGGCTTCCAGTTTAGAGCTTTTATGGGATTCCTGAGCATGTGAACAAGTTGTCCTCTGATTCTTGTATTCTCTCTTGGGCTTTTTTTCCCTATTGGTCTGTTTTGTCTGACCTTAATGTGATAGTTTTTGTTGTATCGTATACTTTGTTATATTTAAAAGAAGAAGGAGGAGGAAGAAGAGGAGGGGGAGGAAGAAGAAGAGGAGGAAGAGGAAGAGGAGGAAGAGGATGAGGAAGAGGAAGAAGAAGACGAGGTGGAGGAGGAGGAAGAGGAGGAGGAAGAGGAAAAAGAAGAAGAGGAGGAGGAGGAGGAGGAGGAGGAGGAGGAGGAGGAGGAGTGGTGTAAGCCTAGCTACTAGGGTAAACAATGGAAATGTCATCTATACCTGCCAGGAAAAGCAATTTTCTCCAATGCAAATGACACTGGGTATATAATCTGCTCCCCAGCAGATCTCGTGTTTAGGAGTATTAACCAACAAGTAATAAACAGCCCAATTTTTCATGTACTTTTATTTGGTTACAGTTTGGTGTTTTTGTATTGTTTCTTTTTATGTAATGTTGTGTTCTGTTTTCTAAGTTTTGGTAGTTTTGTTGTATTGTGTTTTAGGTTTGTTTTATAAGAAAGAACTTAAAGTTGGGTGGGTAGGGAGGAGGAGAGGATTTGGACAAATTTAGGGGCAGGGAAGAATATGATCGAAATATATTTAAAAATTGTTTTAAGTAAAAATAGTTTTTAAAAAGAAGAAAAAGTGGCTGCTTTTATCTTTAGATATTGTAATGGATGTTGTAGATAGAATCATACTTTCATGTGTTAGCTGCAGCCGATGTGCTTGAAGAGTTTTAGTTAAAATATAGCTGAGTATATCGAATGCTGTTGCACTTAGTAGTACTGATTCCCCAGATTCAGAAGGCAGACATAGAAGGAGGCAGCCAGTTCCAGGCTACCCTGGGCTGTACAGTGAGACTGTGTTTCAAAAACAAACAAAAAGTTCAAGATGGTAACCAGGTCTATAGGCAACTAAGGGTTTCTAGGGGAGGAAGAGGCATTTCCATAGTGGTGTAGCCACAGGTAAGTATGTACTCCTGTACATAGCCCCTCACTTGGTATCCTATAAGAAACTCTAATGAAATAATTTAAATAAAAACATGAAAACAGAAGAGTACAAGATAGGAAGATGAGTAGAGAGGAAGGGGAACAAGAAAATTAATAGAGGGGCAATTGTGTTAAAAATATATAATGTATGAAGTGATATAATGAAATCCATTATTATATATAATTAACACATGCTGATAAAAATCAAAGGAAACCAAGTAGAACTTTCCATATCACATGCTGCATCTTTATTGGTTCTCATAAACATTTAAAGTAGTATATTACTTTTAATGCCTAGAAAAGAAAAAGACAATATCGCAAATATAAATGAAATTCCCTACCAGGAACTGCAACATGCTCTAAGCATGCAAAGTAAAAGATTTGTCACCAGGACTTTATTAAAATCTTTGTCTTGTTAACTACTACGTACAGAGTAACAAAATCTCCTTGAGAGATTCTATATAATTTGAACAGTTTCCCTCAAATGATTTTTTCCTGTTAGTAATGACCTGAAGGAATCTAACTCCACAGAAGAAAAGGGATAAAGGTTATTTTAGTAGCTTTCAGATCAGGTGGATGCAGAGGAATGTTGTGTGTATCTATCACATACATATCCATATATACATACAAACATATATGTGCATATTTCTAGGCTCTCCTAAAATAGACAAATAAAAATAAAAAAGAGAAGAAAAAATGAGAAGCCAGTTGATTGTTCTATAAGCCTCAGGCTATCTGTTTTTTTTTTTTTCCTTTCTGTTGCTGTGATAAAACACTCTGTCTAAAAGCAAACTAGAGGAAGAAAGGATTTGTTGGGCTTATAAGTCCAAATCAGTCCATCATTGGGGGGAAGTCAAGGTGGGAATTTGAAGGCAGGTGAAGACTGCTATTCTACAGACCATGATCTCTAACCAAGGAACTCAATGTACAGCCAAAGAATTGAGACAGGAACCTTGGTGGCTTGCTGGTTGGAAGGCAGGCTTATGTTCAGTTTTTTATGCAGTTTAGGACCACTTGCCTAGGGAATGGGAACACCTACAGTGAGCTGGTCTCCTCTATTAATAATCAAGACAACTCCCTACAGACATGCCCACAGGTGCCAACCTGGCTTACAAAATTCCTTAATTGGGATTCTCTTGCCAGATAATTCAGTTCTGTCTAGTTGACAGTTAACCAGGGCACTATCCTTATAATTCAGGTAACAGTCTAAGGTGACTAAGGGAATTTCAGTTCAAGAACCCTCCCCAGAATCCTGTGCTACCATGTCAGCAGTTTCTCACTAGCGAACACTGGTTAGTCCCAGAGTGAGTGTCTCCTGTATTTCTGATTCCTTATTAACTCCAATTCTATATTGAGTATCTTGAAGTAATCTTTTTGTTCACTTTTAGTTTGTATAGATAGCTAATTTTCACTTTCAGCTCTTTGAAAGCTAAAAATCCGTAAGAAAACCATCTCTGATTCTCCACTTTAGTAGATCTAACTCTATGGTTCATTTGAAACACTACAAATACTGTTATGTTTAGCAGTGCTATTGATGATGAAGATAGTGGATTGTGCCAGGTGAGAAACTTACTCTCAGAACTCTGCTTCAGAAACCAAGACACTTTCCAGACTGCAACAGAGCATGCTGGGTATTGGAGAGCAGAACAACATGGCTGTTTGGGGCAGAGATTTCATTTGCTCTGCACTAAGGGCCCTGGATCCATTCCCCAGTGATGCTATTACCTGTCAAGTACTGGATGACTGTTTACATTCTTATCCTAGCAGCCTTTCCAGAGTCTGCCTCTCTCAGGCAATGACTGGCTTACCTGTCTATGGCACAGTTTCTGCCTAGAATCTCTATGTTAGGCTTCGAATGCCGATCATTCCTACACAGTCATGTAGGAGTTTTATACCAAGGCTCATGTTAAAATTATTAAGAGTATGAAAACTTACCTGGTAAGTTAACCTGGTAATGGCATTCAGAGCTGGGGTCTTGCAAAGTGATTAGATCTGATGTAGTCATTTGCATGAGCTCCATAAGTGGACCCCTTAGGCTTTATGAGGAAGACATTCAAATGAGAGCTATGTGCACATTCCATCCATGCTACGACAGAGCCAAAGGGGAACCTCACCAGAGCTGGTGCCCATGCTCAGGAGAACAGAGACCAGCCTCACACAGGTGAGCTGATGGGGCTGGCTCCAGGACACCAGACATGTTCCTGTCTTCATATGTACTGATCACTGCTTTCCTTTAAGGCTTCAGCCCTTTGGTAAATCTCTTGTTTTTAAAATTAGTGAAGCTATAAAAATGTAGAGTATTGTATAAAAACAGTAAGCATGGGGTCTGGGAAGACAGCTTAGTTGGTAAATTGTAAGCATGAGGATCTGAGTGGATCCCTAACACCCATGTAAAAAAGTCAGGTGTGGTAGCATGTCCTGTAGTCTCAATGTAGAAGTGGAAATGGGTAGATCCCTGTGGTTCACTACACATCCTGCCTGGCCTATTTGATGAACTCTAGGCCAGTAAAAGACCTTGTCTCAAAAAACAAGGGGGCTGGTTCCAGCAGAATGACAGTCAAAGCTGTTCTTTGGCTCCACATATATTTGTGTGTGCATGCAAACTTCAAGGCTGATTCCTGGGGGCTAGTAGTTACAGCTGCCTGACTCATTCTACACACTCAGCCAGGGCCCCTAACAGATCTCTAAGAAGGGTCAAGTATGGTGTCCTAGGACATGAGGATACTCCAGACCTCAGGTTGCATACATTTCTTCTCCTAGCCTGATGTCAGTGGGATGAGCTCAGCTGTGGCAGAGTAGCTTCAGCAACAGCAGTTGGCTGCCCTGCCCTCTGCCTGGATCAGGCTGGTGGTATAATTTCCTGACTTTCTGGAGTGTTGATGTTTCATTGTAAATGCTCAGAGTAAAAATTT